TGATTGCATTATGATGGACGCTTGATTGCAAAGTGTATACTTTTAGCTATTCTTAATTATTTTGTCGTCCTGTACAGTATGTGTGTGAGTGCAGTCCAGTGAAGGTGTCCCCGAAGAGGCTACCTTCACTTCGGGGCACTACAGTAATCAATTTGCCCGTGGCACACAGCAGAACAACACAAAGACACAGAGGCAGCTTTTGTGTGGGTGTGTGTATAAATGAATGACCTTGCTTGACTTGTTTACATTGTGTGTGCAGGTGTAGGTTACAGAGGTCAGTGTATTTGTTGGGACAGAAACTTTTATTACATTTTGATAAAACCAGAGGCTTTTCGCCCATCTGATAGGTTACGTTTTCTGACAACAGACTCATCGGCGGCCAACTTTCACTTGCAATTGATCACACTTAAAGTGTTAGACTTCAAATGAGTCAAATATAGTCCTCTCTTGTCTTGTGTTTAGGACAAAAGAGGACTAAATCTATATTTTCTTCAGAGACGTTTGACAACAAATGATACTGAAGCACTTCGGATGAAACAAAAGCGTATGATTCATACTATTTTTGTTTCAACACCATGTCTATTTATAAGTCTCTCTTGTATTTATCTCACCAGTTCCACTTTCAGCTATTGTATGCTATTATTTATTTTTACCTCCTCCATCATGCTTTGCTGCTGCTATGAAAAGCAGTGACAGTGTAACAGACATTATCAGGCTTATACACATGTGCACCTTCTTTGGTATTATCTAAGGTATTTGATTACTGTCGCTGTTGTACAATGCGGCTCGACTCTCATTACGGTTTCCTGTCCTCCTAACTGTCAGTGATAAACCCAGCCATCCTGCTAAAGGGCCACGCTGTCTGCTTGAGTGATGGCCCAGGTTTATCAGGAGTGGGATGACAGAAGCAAAACCTGGGATCTGCTTCTGGTGTTCAGTCTGTCTGTGTTTGCTCGTGGCAGAATTAGATTGATCAGATAGTACCACACAGAGATAGTGTATACTGCACTAGGTTGTATAGACAGAGGGTCTTTGTACACCTTTTCCTGAGTGAGGTAGTAACATGTATTATAGGGTAGGATCCCTACTTTATAGCATCATCCGCAGCTATTTTCTATGCTGCTGTAGGAGAGGTCACATTTTACAAGGACTCACAGTTTACAACACATGTGATACACAGTAATATTGGGCTCCTTCTCTTATACAATTTGATTGAAGTCATTTTGTACTAACCTTTTCAATACAAGCTTTCCATTCTTGCCTAAAATAGTTTCTTCAGGCATCTAATTTTTTAGTTTTTTTGGATCTATGTATTTTTCAAATGTATCATATTGTAATACATCTTATATTTACATTAGTTACACACAATCACAACTACAGTACACGTTGGCCTTTCAATAGCTACAGTAACATTTTGTTTGGTATGATTTGAGTGCTGGTAATAATGTAAAACACCACATTTAAGTAGACACATTTCCCATCTATGTGATGTATGTTAAAGACCTGCAGCTCTACTGAAACTCAGTCCTAGACTTGTTTTAAGTGTTGCTGTAAGAACTACATTTCCTGTGGGTTTAAGAAGGAGATGGCAGGAAATAGGAAATCATGCAGTATTGATTAGAAAAGCACTAAAACATAACTGGTTTCTTGGCTGAACCAACTACCCGTGGAACATTTTGTGAGTTTAGGTTATCAAGGAAAGGAAAACATTTAATAATGCTTTTACAAAGAGAAACATTAGTGATTTGCTCAGACTTCTATTCTTATTAATGAGGATGTTTTTTTGCTCGTTGCTGTGGCAAGATATTTGGTTTTTCTTGTTATGAGAAAAGATGTTTGTAAGCGTCCTATTATCATCACTGTAGAGATTAAATGTATTTTGAACAGTGGGGAAAAACGCTATACAAATAATGTGTTTTACTATTATTGATGGATATAATTGCTCCTTGTATTAACATACCGTACATTCTGTTTTTAAGATAAAGAATGACTATTATGCGCAGTTTACCCCTGAAATAACTTTTCTTAAACAGTATGGGAGTAAAGGCTACATTTTCTCTATTCCATTATAGACAAAATCAATAGCAGTAAACAGGAAAACAAATGCTTTTATCTCTTCAGTATGTCACGTGTCATTTAAGCCACATGTCCTGTAAATCAATATATTGGTATTGACCCATGAGCTATTTATAATCTTAGTTTCACTACTTTCTTCCACATTATTGTTGATAGTCAGCATCTTGCATTATCAGTCATTCTCTGAATCAGATATTTATGTATTTGCTGTGGTGACTTCATAAATGTGTTGTTTCACTATATGATGTAGCAGTATTTGTCATTGGAAATATATAGTATTCTTAAATACCTGCTATTATTGCACATTGCTTCAAATATTACTTGTTATGGGAGTGCTGCTCAGTGTTGCTTTGAGAAAGGGAAAGTATTGTTGTTAGTTGGTAGAGTTCATTATTTCTGGGATTTGAGGACATTTTTTAATTCACATACAGGTCTATTAGCGCTACATTTAATGACATGTTAAATCGATGTTTGTCAAGATCACATACATAGATACAATTCAAAAACGGTGTTTAGATTATTTATTCAAGTCCTGATGCTCTTTGTAAAGAGGCACATGACTTGATTTAATGTGGATTTAACCTTTAGGGTTAATCCGCTGCTCCTCATAGCCTGTCCACTAGCTCCATCTAGTGGTCAAAGTTGTGCATGGTCAGTGAGCGCCAGAGTCCACTAAAAGGCACGAGTACTGTATGCTTTATTATCTCGGAGCTTATTTAGTCCATCATTACATCAATAGATCCGCTTTTACCTCTGTAATCACGTTTATGAAAGATAGACTTTGCACTTCATTGCATACCTTATGGGACTAATAAGAAATGGAGCTGTACTTGTAGCAAAACAAGAGGCCAAACTTCATGCCTTGTATTGTCAGTAATGTATGCCTTGATACTATCAAACAACATGCCATATTTGGTCAGTCTCAGCTTGAACTGTGTGATCTACAGAGAATGGTCTGTCTTTGTAAAAAACACTTTGCCTAATGCATGTTGTCTCGGTTGAATGTACATCAATATATATTTCAGTCCAAAGTGGACGGGCCAGTATAACCGGTTTAGTCAACGCATTATCGGATCATTTTACATCATTTTTTTGTAATATGAGAGCAAAGTCTTCCCTCCCTCAAGAAGGAAGTACAATCTCAGCCTGCATTTTCCATCACTTTCCTTCAATCCGGCCCCTTCGTCCGCAGGAATACAGTGAACACACGCCCGTGTTTGCCGGATCAACAAGACCTCCAAATGAATGTTTAATGAGCATTTTAGAAGTCATAATGGCATGTCGCTAATGTCCTGTAATGATCTTCCTGTTGATGGCCACGCCTCGATACTTTCTCTTCCACTACGCCTCTGACAGCTGTTTGACAATGGTTTGAACTTTGCTGAATGTAGACTACTTGCTTCCACTTCACAACGACTGCTACTATCCGATCACCGCGTTGCTCCGCTGTAGAGAATCATGACTTTTCCATTGAGAAAATCCGTTTCAGGTATGCTGCTGTTTTTAAATTAATGCTGCATTATTTTTTTATTTACTTTTTTTATTAGATTATTTTTATTTTCGAGTGTCTTTGATTCCAGCGTTCCAAGTTTTAGACTATAATTGAGTTTTTTACTTTGAGTTACAGTATGTTGTAGTAGTGTTAAAGACATTATTTTTGTTGAAAAGTAGTTCCTTTCTTGGTTGACCGCCTCGGAGCTGTCCGTGGTGCTGAAAGGGAGTCTTCGGCCTTTAAGTATCTCAATTGTTTTTCTCTGGATTTTTGTCGCTGTTTGTTTAGAGATTTTTGATTTATTAAGAACACATAACTGCATGCTGTTTATATATAATACGTGATGTTTAGATTTAGAGAGATCTATTTTGCATTTATTTTATTTTAGCAAGAGTTCACATTTCATTATAGGACGACTTTTATTCAATCAACTAAGTTAAGATGCATAAAATTAAGGTGTGTTACTGTCTATTATTAAACAGAGGAAATGGATAAAACTTTAGTGGCAGTTTTGGGTTAGGACTGTAGATGGCACCATTGGTTAGGGTCTAACTCCAGAGCTGAGGAAAAAATACAAGCAAAGATGAGGCCTGCAGTCAGGGTGGAAATGACAGAACCCTCAGTGTCAGGATATAACCTTTGGTGTTCAACATAAAACTAACATACAACTATGTTGAACACACGATTTTCCGTTGGCGTTCTCATGATTTAAACTCATAATTATTACAGTAATTGATAGAGAAAAAAATAGGATAAAAGGGGGAATAATTTCAGATAGGAAATTCGTATTAATAATTTTTGAATGTATGCTGCCGTGTAATCCTAGGGTTAGAAGCATTTTCTGTAATGTAATCAAATAAATCGCTGCTTATGCCCCACTTTATTCATCTTGCATTAACATCACTGCTGACGTTTGATGATGGCTATAGCTGCTGTCAAATCCCTCTGCACTCTATAGTGGGAAATTACATTAGTTAATAAATCACATTTTATTTATTTTATCTTTTGTTTGCAGTCTCTCTACGAGTGGACGCTCGCCCTGACACAAGTTAGAAACGTGTTTTTTTTTAATATAAATTCGTTAAAACCGAGCTGTATCAGTAGGCATTCCACTTTTTTCGTCCACCGTAGTTTAATAAAATATGGAAAAGTGTGGTATTCTCTCTATTCTCTCTTGTCTTTCTCCTCTATGCCACTCTCCGCCCCCACTGCCTACACCCCATTATCTGGATATGTGACATGAATTCCCCCATATGACGGCCTGTATGGAGAAAATGTTTCTAATTGTGCACATTGCCTGGTGTGTGTCCCACTAGTTAGACTCCCTGCCCTCCCCCTCCTCGCCCACTGCTCCTCTCCAGTTTGTCGGTGGGATGCTCTGAGCAGCTGAGTCTGTGCTTTGCGCTGAGCTCGGATACTGCACCCACAATGATGCGCCTGCTGCTTTTGCCTTGCCTCGCTTTAACTAAAAACAGAAACACAAATGGCATTTCTTCAGAGATTCGTTCACATGCTCTGCTTTGCCTTTTCTAAAACGCGGTGTTAAATCTGTGACAGCAGCAGCTTCAGTGAGGGATTAGAGAAAGCAGATAAGGAGCCCTGCAAACACTCCCGCTGCCTGCAAACAGGTGTTCCCATCCTCTGGCTGCGCGCTGAGCCTCATTCACCATTGACTGCTACCCGAGCACCATGTGCACGGCCATGTAGTTTAGTGGTTTAAAGCAAAACCGCTTACGGAGACTGGGTTAGTGCACATTTGTTGTAATGCAAGGACAATGATTCAGTTGCGAGAACATGCAACGTGCTTTGGTGAAAGTATTTTCTTTTTTGTTAAGTTTCACTTTTTTCTCTCGGAGATGCAACGGACAATATCTGAATAACGCCCAAATTCGGGAAACATGATACATTTGGACATTATCTAACAGGCTTTACCACATTACTAGGACTATTTGTTTGGTCAACTCTTAATAGTCCATTTGGCAAATTATTTGTTATTTGGCTAACCTTTGTTGTTCCATCTGCGCCTGGACGCTTACCTTCGGGATCCTTCTTGGTGATTATTTTCACGCTTCTTCGGAAGTTTTTCCGCTGTCAAACTGGCCATGGCTGCAGCGATAGCGAGCTCCCTCATAAGGCAGAAGAGGCAGGCGAGGGAGCGGGAGAAGAATAATGCCTGCCGCTGCGTTAGCAGCCCCACTAAAGTCAAGGGAACCACATGTGAGAAACCCAACCGACTGAACGTTTTCTCCCGGGTCAAACTCTTTGGCTCCAAGAAGAGGCGAAGGAGACGACCAGGTCTGTTTTGAAATATTACCAGGCTATCATCCTCAGGATCACTGTAGCTTCATCCATTGTAGAAAGCCATTATCTTTCAAAAATCATCTTAACTCCAGAGATTATACTGAGTACTGCTCCATTTCTATGCAGATGTCTAAAGATTAATGAGTCTGTCAGAGTTGTTGGGAGGACGGGGCTCTTTATTTAGTTTCTCCACAGAGAAGTCACCTTTGGCATCTCAGACTGCTGAGGGATATATTAAAAGTATACTTTATTCTTCACTGTCCACTTATCCAGGCCACACTGGACAAGATATATACAAAAGTTACTATTAAGTCGATTTAGGAAATCACTAAAGATTTCACTGTCACTTGCAGGTCATTGCTCACTGTTAGATCTGAATACTGAATAATCAATTAATCATAGGTGATTCTATTTCAGTCTCTACAAGGATTAATACGATTTCAACATGCTTCCTTTAGGTAGACTATAACTTCAAAAAAGATACACATCCACGGATTTAAAAATAAAGCAGGTTTTACATTTTAACAGCTCAAAAGTTATATTTCCACATTTACTGTTGGCCAAGTTCTTTGTTGAGGATGTTTACAACTGTTATAATACTCGGCAGATAGTACAATAATTAAATGATAACTATAAGTATATTGCCTAGTATATTATAAGGAAAAAGTATTATGAGGACATCATCCAGGGCAGCTCTTAAAACCCTTGTATCCTTGCAATGACATAAATGTGTCTCTGTCGCCTGAAGCACCCACTCCCTTACCAATCTAGTGCAAAAAGTGACCGCAGCTGCAAATCAAAACTGATCACATCCTACTCAGGCCCAAAGCTCCCCTTTTCTTAGTTGTGTCAGTTTCTGTGTGCGTGGATACGATGACAGGAGATGATCTGAGGTTAGGTGCAATCTTACTGTATGCAATAACTGTCCTTCAGTTTTTGCACCCTTCTCCCTTTTAAATTCCATATCCTGTAGAGAAAGCAATGAGTGCAAATAAGACGTTATCTGCGAAAACACAAAGAGCTGGCATCTTTCAGTTTGGGCCGTGTATTTACTTTTGTGCGCTGTCTGGTAATGCAGTATGGATATTGTGACGCTCTTCTGTGTTTAAAGTACATAGGTGTTTATGAAATTATGTTCAGGCTACTGTCATAACATAATAATGCAAAGTACAAAGTTTCACAACAAAAGCATTACAATATTTCCAGTACACAGAACTTCTCTGCAGCAAAAGTAACCTAAGTAAGGGCAGAAGAGGGAGGTAAGTGAGATGAAAGGATAGATGAAAGGTGTGGTAAACCACAGTAAAGGACACTCCACCAGGGACAGTAACCAGGGAATGGAGAGAGCACTTAGCTCTTATCAGACATTACACTGATGCAACACAGACAGGCTGCACAGCCACTTCAAAAGTAAATCATCTGCCACTTCAAACTATTGTCTTTTAGACTCACTGGAGCTTGTTTTATATGTTGCGACATTTGATAGTGTGGCTTTGCAAATGTGATGGTACAGACATCTCTATTGTCTTGTTCTACTATCCTTGTTTAAAATGTCCTAAACTAGTATTTACAGATATATACAGATCCTAATTCTCAATTTGAAAGACATGTTTGGCACTCTCTTCGCAAGTGCTTTCATTTTCACTAAAAGTTCAATGTTTTAGTCGAAATGTAGTTCATTCAAATTGTTGTCGTACCTTATATCACAGATGTTATCGAGATTAGGATTTAGAGGTTTTTTGATGGCAAAAAACAAGTATTCAAGGCATTTAAAACCAATATTTCTCACACAAATTCTACCTGTATTGGACAGTTCATATGCAGAGAGTGATGGGAAGCATGAAGAGAGAGAGAAGGGGGGCCATAGAAGAAATGTCATCAGCCATCTTAGACCACTGAGCCACCTCACGCCCCAAAGCCATTTTTAAATTTGATTTGATTTGCTCTTCTCCATCTGTGGTCTGACTTCTCAACCGGGGAGCCATGGGGCCGCCTTTTTTGCATCTGTTGCCCTGAAGAGAAAAGAAAGAAAGTGTGCGGATTGTGGATACAGCAACATTGCACAAACCAATTGAATAATAACAGAAGAAGAAACAGAAATGTTTCAATTATTTCAATTTACACATCCTGCTGTTTTATTTAGGCAACTTCTTTATAATAAAAGTGACAGTGAACAGGATTCACCTAATAATGTCAAGAGAAGTTCAATTCGTCATAATTGAATTGCTTCTTCCGACATGTTTTGGTGGTGATTGTGTTTGCTTGACACGTGTGGCAGCCTATCAAAGTCAGCCGTCGTGCTGCTCCTTTTTGTGCCACTGTGGCTTCACTCTGTCTTGATACCCCTTGACTAAACTGCATTTTGTGGATCCAGTTACTTCCAAGATGGCGACGAGTAAACCGAAACTGAAGCATTTGAAAGTGTCCCTTTTAGAAGGCTACGGGTGACATCTCATTGTAACATTCATGTTTTTCTAAAGTGTGTGGTTTCATTCCTGTCTTCCTGTCTTCCTGTCCCTCTACAGAGCCCCAGTTGAAGGGGATTGTGACGAAGCTCTACAGTCGACAAGGTTTCCACTTGCAGCTGCAGGCAGATGGAACCATTGATGGAACGAAGGAGGAGGACAATGGTTACAGTAAGTTTCACTCTTATATTTTGCACCCCCTTGTTTAATCGACGTACATCCATTGCCATGATGTACTGATGGTCATGGGGAACCTCATAAAACAAAATCAAAAATGTGTCAACGTCTTACTAGATAAAACAGATGCATAATTTGCAGTAAAAAAAAAGGTAATAAACTGTTATATATCAAATATATGTTATTGCAAAAGTATAGGCAAATCACAAGCCGTTAAATATTGCTATCATATCATCATCATATCAAGACTTCAGTATTGTGATAATCTCGTATTTTATTTATAATTCTTCATCTAATTTGGTGAATTTAATTCTTTATCATAATTTCAAACTTTTCAAAAGTGTGCTTGTATCGGTTCATACTAGTGCTGAGAAAAACACTTCCTTCATATTGCCGGTGCATTTAAGGGCTGCAGTTTGGATAAGTGGTTTATTTCATCTAATCAAAGTCATCCTATGGCAACCTCAACACTCACAACGATTGGCTTTTTACTCTCCTACAATCTTCCTCTGTTGTGAGAGCAAGTAATGTCTTATACTTGATGCATCCCTATTATTGCCATTACACCCACCAGCTCTCTGTTTCCCAATAGGCAGATTGAAGAGGAGATCAATGGAAGAGTAACACCACTGCCACATGTCTTCTAACAATACAGATGAAATACACCACCTCATAATTAGACAGTGCCGTGAATACATGCTTTTGAAGATTAGAATAGGACAGTGGTTAGTGACCTATGTGAAATCCACTTTGCCAGTATATTGTTGAGTAAAGATCTACATGACACACTGATACAGCTTTGATGTAACACTCACTATAATCCCGACACTAAGCAGATGTAAACACTTCTGGAGTCTCTGAATTAGTACCTCAGTATTCAATTACTCCCCTGGTGGAGATGGCGTGTGAATCTCAGATATAAATAGCAGCTCTGTGCAAGTGGGATGTTCTCCTATCTGAACACAACCTCGTAATTGGTGTAGATTTGAATAAAATGATAGCAAAAAATAAAACTACACAACGTTGACTTTTTGAGTAGACCTTAAATGAATGAAATAATGACAACATCTCTATTTACGCTCATATATTATACTATACTTGACACACTGACCACCCCACCCATTACGTCTGCATGGACTCACTTCTCTGTTGACTTGCATAACAACTGGCCCGCAGTGGCTCCATCATAGTTTTTGAAGAGAAAATTAAAGAGTGCTGCTGAATAGGAAAAGGAGAAAGAGTGAGGCTCTTTGCACTGCTCCAAAAATAGCGTTGTTAGGCGCTGGGTGCGCTTGTCTCCATGGTGACGGAGAGCACAGTCCTCTTGGAGTTACTGGTGTCTTGTGATGGTGGGAGAGGACCTACTCAAATGCAAATGCACACGCACGCACGCACGCACGCACGCACGCACGCACGCACGCACGCACGCACGCACGCACGCACGCACGCACACACACACACACACACACACACACACACACACTTACGAATACAAGGATTTGTGCTACTGTAGTTACTGAGATGACAGCTCTGGCCGTTTGGCTTGGGTAATAAAGAAGTTCTATATTTCTCTGACATATTCATTAGGATGGCAAACAATGTCAAAGATAACAAATCCAAGTCTCATATTTCCCGGTGATTAATCTCCCGTTGTAAAGAGTTTCAACTATTTTCTTGTGCTGCCTCACAACTAAGCAAACACACTGTGTATCTAGATTCTAGAGAATCACAACTCAGAGCTGTAATTCAACTCTTTATCATTTTCTTCTTCAGAAGAAGGCTACTGTCTCACAGTAACAAAATGCAATGTTATTTCTTCAACCCTGATCTTTGAAAATAGACAATACAGTTTCAAGATATTGTTAGTGTCATTCTCTATTCTAAGATTGAGGATGCTGTGGATCCCAGAATTAGGCAAATTCATTAAAAGCCTTCTGAAGTGTAATTCACATCAGAGAAATGCCAATTGAATTTGCCAACAACTTTTTAATATTGTATTTAGTTCCTGTATATTCAATATTCTCTCTCTTCAGAGTGGACACTTTCTGTGTTTTTACTGTAGTCCTAAGAGAAGTTGTCTAACCTGTGACTATTGAATGAATAATGTCTCTTTCGAGCTTCCTGTGAATACAACAGTCTAAAACAGTGACATCTCTTATGCAACGCTATACTCACAAATGCAATCAAATCCAATTTCTGTATCGGAATATAAGTCGTACATTATTTACTCCGGTGCAGTGTAACCCAATGTACCTCCAACAAAGAGCGACTACAGTCAAACAGTAATCATACCACAGCAGAAGTGCAGTGTAATGTTGTCACAACAGCTTTTTAGCCGTCATGCTGTCATATGTAGTCTGCTCTAATTGCAGACAAGCTGCTCTCGGAATAAGTTACAGATATAATAAATGTTTAAAATGTGACAAGCGAACGCTGTTAACCTTCGAGTTTATAGTCAAACCAAATTGGTCATGACTCCCAGGCTGTTAGCGAATGGATGTTAGGCATGGAGACAGTCTGCATGCAATCGTGAAAACTTTCTCTCAGGCCTCATCACCTTCCTCATCCTGTTTGGCTCTCGGCACTAGGAAAGGTCTGTGAGTGGGTGGGTGCTGTCATCCTCTTCAGTTTGCTCAGGTGTTTCTAGGAGCCATGAAGTAATTGAGTTTCCGCTCTTGAAAATCTCCAACGGTACATCAGCTGGTAATCCTTCTGAAATGAAGTGGACTGCAGATATGTGTCGTGGTGCGAGCACGAAGGCAGAAAGCTCAGTGGGCTTTGCAATTATAAAGACAAGAACAGCTCAGGTAGCGAGAAGTTTCAGCAGAGGAAGACACAAATCATATAATCTAAAAAACTGAGCTATATACAGGGAAAAAAGGATACAAAATGTGTTCGCACAAATCCAAATGTGTTTTGTTAATAAGTCTGCAAATCAGGTTGGTTTTTACAAGAAATACTTTCTCACTAACATCCCCTCTAGCTCCATATACAGCATTGCCCAGCTAGATCAATCTGCACAATGGTTTGAAGAAGAAGTTTGCTGATATTGCCATCTGTAACCTGTGACCATGCAATTCTGGAAAGGATTTGTTGAGCCTACGCACTGCAGTATTGCAGAATGCTCCAAATAGTAGCACAAGTTGGGAGGATACTTTTTTTAAATGAAGAAAATCTACCTCAACACGAAGAATATTGCTTTTATTCTTTCTAATAATTTGTTCAGAAAATGTTGCAAGTGATTAATTGTTAACTAGTACACTAATATAAGTATGTTTTAAGCTTGAGAGAGGATGCAGCTAATGCTATATATAGTAATAAATAATAATAACCAATCATGCACACAATTACTGTGAAGCGTGTTTAAAACACTGCGGTTGTAAATAGTAGGTCCTAGTTGTTTAAAATATACAATTTGGCAGGATTTGCTGCAGAAAGCTGCCAAAAAAAAACAGAGACAACAATCTGTCATGGAGAGCGCTGCGTCCTTCCTTTGTCATATTTTGATTACTGTTTCATTATAGGACTGTCAATAACTTGGTGTTTGAAAAGTGAGGCAATTGAAATGAGAGCTGAAGTTAGTTAACTAAGTAACTCGAGCGTAACGGTAAATTAAAATGTATCTGATGATTTAAACTGCACGCAGCCGACCATCGACCATGAAGATAACAGCGTTAGTAAGGAGAAGTCAGTTGGAGGAGAAATTGACAGGATTTCTGATCATATGTATACATTATAAATATTGCGTCTCATCAGCCATCATTGTGTCTGTAAAGTGCAAGCATATACGCTCATGGGATCTTTATCTGTCCAAAAGCCTGACATTTGTTTGCATCATTATTCTGGGTATGTTTAGAACATGTCATTTAAAGAAATAACGATGAACTCAGAAGAGGTAGAAGCAGAAGAAAGGGTAGATGGAAGACCGCAAAGAGAGTGGTTCTGGTATGTAAACACCTTTGCACTGAGCGAGGTATATGCTGGCACTGCCTGTTTACTCCACCAAGTAAATACATTATGCATTCCTGTGGCTGTTGTTTACAATGAAAGCCCGGAGAAAAGTAGGACTGCAGTGCTAAAGCGATAAGGCCAAATGAAATGGCCCATCAAAAAGTCTCTATAGTGCACTTTGCCCGAAGGCTTCTGCAGATAGGAATCTAAGTGGTTGACAAGAGGACCTAGAGTAACGGCACACTGACTCACGGCTTAACTGATGTGAGAGTAACATTTAATTTCTACTATCACATGCGTCCTAACAGGGAAGTCTCTATTTTAATGTGACAATGTATAGTCTTAACAATCAAAAGGGATACTTGAGATGAGGGATTTTCTTCGGGAGGTTATAACTGTGTTTGCTGCTATGCTGTATGGAAGCATCGGGACTTTCAGGTACATGTGCTTTCCTAGAATCAGCCCGTGGAATCCCTCCCAGCGTATGAAACACTCGCAGACACACTTGTATACAACAGGCGGACATTAATTATAAAGGAGTACCTAATTGACCAGCTGGGCGGCCGCTGGCTCTCCAAGCCCCACGACACGAGTCCAGCCCGCTGGTCACAGGCAGGTTTATACAGTATGCGTGTCACGTGTAAATGCACCAACATGTGTTTCCTCTCTCGTTTTCAAAACTCTTGTAATGCTCCGTCTTCACAATCGGCCCAGGGAAATGGCATTATGGTGACGCCATCATAGATTTACATTTGGTTACAATTTGTATGCATGTTCAATTTATTTCCATGAAAATCATTTGATACTGTATATCATTTTCAATATTTTAGCTCAACAGCCTAATTTGATCAATTTCTCTGTTTCTCTCTTTTGATTTTAATTTTGTTTGTTTTTTTTGTACCACCCTTGGGAGACAGTGGCTAAGTCCCTGAGCTTATGTTGTACCTCTATTTGTGGATTGGTTTTGACAACTACCTCTTCCATCCAGACAGAGAAAGGGAACACTAATGACCATCATTTTAACCCCTTAACGGCACATTTAAACAAGGTGGAGCTCACTGTGCTTTGGGCTATTCTCAATGTAATGTTTGTCTTTCTGGCTTGTGTTTTCAAAATCTCACCATATTACTAAAAGCACTATATATATGTACTAAATATCTTAAGATAGAATCATGAGGATTTAAGGTAGCTGTATAACATAATGAATGTATTCACTGCCTTATTTTCTTCAAAAAAGTGTTTTAAATGGAAATAAAAGCGTACTCTTTGTTTATCATATGTTTCTGTTGTCCTTCTCTTTCCAGGCGTGTTCAACCTTATTCCAGTGGGGCTGCGAGTGGTGGCCATCCAGGGGGTGCAGACCAAACTCTATCTGGCTATGAACAGTGATGGCTTCCTGTACACATCAGTAAGTGTCTCCATTTATGTATGAGTGTTCGTGCGTGTATGTATGTGTGTATGGAATGGGGTCCTGACCTCTATCCTAGTGGATTAGCTTAGCGTACGCAGAGAAAATGTTTTATCTACGGAAGACATCCTGTGGTGACGTGAGTGATGATAAGAAACCCAACAAGAACATGTGAGAGAGAATACATAGATTTCTTTCTTTTATTTATATATTTTGAGGAAATGGGTAGCTCACTCTCACTGTGCCCACTCAGACACAACTTCATCCAAGGACTGATGAAAGAGCAGCATCATTCAGTGAAATTATTCGGTGTCAACAAAAAGTTCAACGATGCTTTTTTAAGCAGGTGGAGCAGTGATATATCCGATCGTGGCAGCTGGCTCTCCATCTTTGATTAAATGTGCAAGGTTATGAATAATTCAGTTGCAGACCGAACAATGTTCCTGTTCGTGTTCCTCCTAAATGCCACCATCACAAGTGCGTGGTAAGCGTCACTGAGAAGACTGACAGGCTGGTCGGACGCTCACCCAGAGGGTGTGCAGACACACACAATCAATGGTAACAGGCAATCCTTGTAGTCAAATTAGTAAAGATTGTTCTGTTTGGTAAAGGTCTCAGTACACAGGCACAATGGTGATTGATTCAAATAAGCTTAGAGACAGCAAAGAAAACCTAATGACCTTATAGCTTTTTATTTTGCAGCTGCTCCCGACAAATGACCTATTAAGACGATAATGTGATGATAAAAACAGGCCTTCTGGCTCCTCTCTCTCTCTCTCTCTCTCTCTCTCTCTCTCTCCCTCGTGATTGCACTCTTCTCATGCACACAAACGCATTGATAAACAGGGTTAATGTGATAGCTCTCACCAGGCATTAGTTCAGACAAAGACACTAACTCCAAGGAAATGCAGATGAATAAACAGTTAGATTTTGAGTAAGAGGATCTGCTCTTTCAGGAAGCTCTCAAAGAATTCAAAGAACAAGAAGAATACTGCTGAAAAGGACTCATTTTGAAAAACAAAATGCTATTTAAGTCTGCAAATATACAGTGTCACATGCACAATCACTGTATCATATGAATTTGTCAAGAAATCATTGTAATTATACGGTACAGTATTGCAGATGGGCGTGTTTGTGGAAAATATGTTGGGTGTATTATTAATTATAATTAATTAATTTTGTATATGAATTTTAGATTTTAAATTTGTAGACACTGTTTGCAGTTCAAACTCAAGCAGGTCTTACTTGGCAGTTTGAACAGAAAGTATGCAACCTGATGAGACTGTGTTGTTTTACCTTTCCTTCAGTATTTAATCGTAACTACAACACATTGAATGTAATGTTCTTTAAAATATATGTTCATGACTCTGTAAATATCTATTTTCTAGTTAACAATTATGTAAAGAAAAAAAATGTATTCAATATAGTTTTTTTTTTTTTTAAATCAAAAGAGTGACAACATAATCATTGTATAGCCTTTTGCAAGTGTTCTCTGGGCTGCCTGTAATTACATTTTAATGAGCGCTTGCAATTGTTTGACAACATATCCATGGGGGTTGCCCCAGCTAAGCATGCCTGATGGGAATATACAGCAATAATTGAAATAAAACATAGTACTTCAACCCCTTCCCACATACACACATATCTATATTTAACAAGGCTCCCCAGCAGTCCACAGCCCCCCCAGTGAGTGATTTGAATGATACTGTTTGAACTTGGCTGTCATTGGCAGTAATTAAGAATATGAGGCAAGCTGTGTAGGATTAATTTTATAAAGATGGATTCTGCTGGCAAAGTCTCTACAAGCAGTGGAGCAGCAGCAGAAGTATTGACCTATTTCTTTTATTGCTAATGTTTAAAGGAAAAAGTGGATGCCAAGCAGTTAGAACTTCATTGTATTGGTAAATAGGTCTTAGCTTTGCTTTCACCTTGGGTTCGCCCCAGGGTTCTGACCTGGATCCTATATGGTTTTTCTTTTATATGTTTGTCTTAAATACAACATTTACTGTGATAAGTTATTATATTGTGTCTCTTATTTAGTTTTTTTGTGTTGATCTTTTTTGTATCTAATGAAAATAAAGATTGATTCAGTTATCAAACATTTAGGTTTCTTATATTAGATTAAACAAGTTCATAAATAAGCTTTAAAATGACCTAGTATCAGGATCAATTTCTACCAAGTTTACAATCGAAACAATAATACATTATTTTTGCAAACACTGAATTTGCATTTTAATCTATTGTGCATTTTAGGGTGTATTGTGTTTTCATTTATTGTGTGTTTTGTTGCTTGTGTGTTGTGTGATTTTTAAATGGTTAAATGTTAGTCAAATACTGAAGAGCATAACATTCTAAAAATAAATATGCTGGCTGCATACAGTATATCCTTTATGCCGTTTTAAATACCAGCTCACATATGGAATACAGGAAATCTTGTGGGTGTGTTAACTTGAAAGACAGCAGTTGGGGGATGGGTTGTGGAGCTTTCTGCTTCTGCGAAATTACAGAGGGAATTGAATTGAATGTGTAGCTGGCTGCCTAATAGTGCCTGTCTTTCAGGGATTGCAGCTATAGTGCTGCCTTAAAGCCACACATGAAACCAGCCAATAGCTGCATTGGAGAGAGATTCCTGTTTCCCAATCAACAGGGGAAGGACAACAGATGACGTAATCTGGGTCGGTGGGATAAAGTGCTCCTGAATCTGAATGTTTTTTCTATTATCTACTAAATGCTTGCATAAATGCATGCATGAATTGAAATGTGAGGGTATAGTGTTTGGAATATAATAAGTTGGATTCATATGATTTACATGTATATATATATGTATGTATATTAAGGTTTAAAGTGATGTTATGTACTTGAGTTGTTTTTAGAACGTCAAATTGGTTGCATCACTTCTGCATCTGGTATATGTGCGAGGGTTCTGTGCGTATAAGAGCATACACCAAGAAAAAGAGAGAGAGTGAAAGAAACAAGGAGTGTAAAAAAGAGTGCACATGTGTGGGTGAGGCAGAATGCACCAGTGAAAATATATTCATCCGTCAGAGTCAATGTGTGGGAGAGGAAGAACCAATTAATGTATTTTACTTTACAATCCTTCCATGCAACATTTGCCCCTAAACTTTTGCAAAAGCAGTGAAGCAAGTTCTACAGAAGTGTCCTCTCTTATAGTCACAAGTAAAAAGTGTTTTCTAAAATATTCTGCAATAACATATCCGTAGCAATGCATTCATTTTTCTACTGAAACGTTAATAAAAAGCCTTTGAGCTTTTTCGGTATGTTTTTTATATATGGGGGTATATTTTTAGATCATGAGCTAAGCGGTGTCCACAAATCTCATGAGGTGCCTTTGAAGTAGTGTTATTCATTTCCTGGTGGGTCATATTTGAATAAGCGGGATTCACTGATGCTCCAGTAGAGTCTAGATTGCTGTGTGTGAAATGGAGAGTTCAGGGCTCTTGGGGTGGAGGTATTTATTTACGTTGGCAATTGTTATTTCCTAAATTGCTGCGCCAGTTGAATCTCTGCAATGATCATGCATCAAGCATAAGATATTGAATCCATCAGACTCTTGCTAATTTATAAAAGCTTTCCGGATAAGCATTATATGCAAGCTAAACGTCTAAAATGTTAAGTAAGGTCCTCTGAATAATGAATAAAAGAAGACATCCTATATTAAGGATAAGGTAATGCGTTAGGAGAGTCACTGAAACCTTGTATAAGAAAAGCAGAGGTTATTTTATTCTTGAGAATAACATACGCTGATAATAATTTAAAGCATGATGAATTAGGGCTGTGCAATTAATCGTATTTTAATCGCAATTACAATTTTGGCCTGCCACAATTACGAAAACAACATAATCGAAAAAAACGATTATTTTGCTTTGCTAGTTTGTGACAGTGCACTGCAACATATTTGATCTCATTTATTTTGGTCTAATTTATTTTTATTTATCATATTTATATATGTTTAGTAGCTTGTTGAAGTGCGCTCCAAAATATTTGTTGATCTTGTTTATTGGTATTTATTATTTTGATATTATTTATTTAAATGTTAATATAAATGTATAATTTATTTTAGTATTGGTTTTTCAGTTGAATTATACGTTCAGGGAAATCAACAGTTAAAAAGATACTGTTAGAATTATTATTTGTATTTGTTTTAAAGTTCAATAAATGGATGTTTTCAAAGTCAATGAATAATCGTATTTAATAATCGTGATATCAATTATTGACCAAAATAATCGTGATTATGATTTTTGCCATAATCGAGCAGCCCTATGATGAATAGAAAATAGAATAAAAACAGCAAGGCAGTATATCCTGCTTGTACATTGTGTATTTGTACTTTAGTACACTCTTGTTAGATATGGAGTTGGCTCACATGCCTTTTCAACCATTTAGCAAGCACAAAGCCTTTGGTAAATAACCACTGCTCTAAGGTTCCACTCCACTGAGCTGTGTCATTAACTACTTTTGTGTCTGTACAGTATGTGTGTCTGTATGTGTGTGTGCTGCTGATTTGTGTGGGTGTGTCTATTTGTTTTTGGTATTTGCAAGGGTATTTTCCACTAGCTTAAAGCTCTCCAATGTATTCCCAACAAATGAACACCATGAGACGATGAGTAAAGAAAGAGGTGCATTTTAATCCACTTCCACTCTCCTGAAAAGACTGGGACACTGAAAAGCCGGATTTAGGAAGATTGGCCCTCACTGCCCATCCATAGCATTAGCTTTTGTGAGTACAAGCATTGATGTGTCTGCAAAGAAACTAGAACAGCACTCGCATGATTGTATTGGCATTATTGGTGTCATCTCAGTTTGGATATGGCAGTGTGCAGCATTGAATTGGCTTCTCTTGAGAAGAAATCAGCCAAATTCTCTCCACAGACGATCAGATCCATTATGCTAGTATGTCTCTTCCTGCTGATTGGATCAGGAACACACTAGTGGGGTGTAGTAACTCTGCTGAATTCAACAGATTGCTGTTTGAGAGTGCA